TGAGTAACGTGTGAAAGACTTGTCTGATTCTCTTCAACCTTTTCATGAGCAGGATTGGGGATCAGAGATACTCATGAATACATCAAACCTTCCTTCCTCTTAAACTTATGGTGGTTCCATACCCTTGTTACCTCTTTTAACCCCCCTCCTCTTTCACATCTCTCTCCCTCTGCTAACAAGGAGCAGAAGGTAGGACAGGTCTGTAACGGATCACCAGCTGCACATCAGTGAAAAGTGAGAGTAAGGATGTATGTGGTGCACTGTAGAATGGGAGGTTTTGTGACTATAAAGTGGAAGAAAGAGAGCGAGGGAGAGCAGACTTCAAATGAATATTGTGTGAGTGTGTGAGAGAGTTTGTTCAGATGTGTGCCTCGAGAAGAAAGTGAGAGAGAGAGAGAGAGAAAGCAGGCAGCTAAGTCCAGTTTCCCTCATTGCTTTTTACACCAATTGATTTTAGTTTGAGTGACAGGCCAGAGGAAGCAGCACCTCAGCCTGCTGCTGTCAGCTTATGTGAATAACTGCCTCTCCAATCTCTCCTCCTCTCTTTCTGACATCCCTTCTTTTCCCTAATGCACACACACACTTTATCTTTCTCACAACTATTTAAACAATGACAACACATGAGCCAGTCCTGATCTAACTTCAGCTCCTTGTAACCTTCTGTTGACTCTTCCCATCGTTGCTTGAGCGAGTGAGAGGACGCTTTCATAAAAAAAAGGGGTAGTATATCAAAACAGCTGCATCCGTGTGCATGAATGAAAAGCGACGGAGCCAACGCCATCAAATAAAACATATCATAACTGCTCAGTTGCGTCGGCGGTGGGTGCCTGTATATACTTTGTCGGCGAGCAGAGCAAGAGGGGGTGGAGAGTGAAAGCAGCTTACAGCAGGACTGCTGTGTTGCCATGGCGACTGTCTTTGCATTGAATCGATAGCAAAGAGATGCTTGGATTTTTTTTTTGCACACTTCCACTGCTTTTTTTTTTTTTCTCCAGTCTTACCTTTTTTTTTTTTCTTTCATGCTGCTGGCTTTGTTGCTTCCTACATTTGGCATCTATGATGTACACACACAACTAAAATACACATTCAGCCACACAAACCCACAAGCCCAGACACATAGACATACAAATATAATTAGCAGAGGTCTTGTCCAGTTTTTCCATCTGTTTAATGAAAGGAAAGATGCAAAGATCCCCCCTTTTGTGCTGCAGAAATGGCACAGTATAACTAACCCCATCAAATGCTGCTGATACGTACAGAATGGTAATGAAGGATTCTGTGGTTTTTCAATGACTTTTGACTTTTTCTCAGGTCACCTTTGAGGACTGGCAGGTTGCCTTGCATCAGAAATCAACAAAGACCTCAGGCTCCTTTTCATCCGCCTCGCTACAAACACCTCGTTTTTTTTCACCTCCTTCTGATAATTAGAAAATGATAAAAGTGTAAAGTCTTGTATGATGTGTCACTCCAATTATCCTTTGATCAGACGCGCCTTTGATTCAAAATAAGATGGATTAGCAGGTTCATATCATAGAATTAGAACGGATGTGAAATGGGATCATTATGATTAGTCTGTAACAGATGCTTGATCACTGGGAATGAGTGTGTTTCAGAGCTGCACACACTTCAGAGCACTCAATGAATAACACGACTGTGACTAAACTCCTGAGCTAAACGAGGCCTTTTCCATGGTAACAGATCACTTTCAGAGTCTCATGTGCTACCTTTTCCTTTTTCCATGACAACATTGTGTAACATTCAACAGTTACTGGCAAAAAGAGAGATCTTATAAGAGACCATTTTACTGAGTTTGTTAACATGCACAGTACAGTGGAGCTACAGTCTTAGCTCGATTAGTTAATCTAACTGGACTACTGTCCTTGTCCCTGTTTACAAGAACCGGGTAAGGATCAAATTATTGGCTGATGTGTGTCAGCCTCTGCTATAGTAGGTAGAGACATGCCTCCTTTCAGCTAATTACTATCAAGGTGTTTGATCTTTCAGTTGACCGACCACAGGGTGACCATCTTCTGACTTCTCAAAAAGAGGACATAGCTACCCGGAGGCGGAGTCATGGAGTTGCATCAAGTTAATTTTGAGAGTTTTTTGGGTCAGATCCAGTGTCTTTTGCGCAACTAACTCAGTAAGTTACATGACACAAGCTCGATACGTCTGTACAAAAACGTGGATATTTGAAGGATTTTATGAACTTCCCCTGACAAAGCTGGACAACATCGGACAGCATCCCAAAAAGAGGACATGTCCGGGTAAAAGGGGACGTATGGTCACCTTAATCTATCACATATCAAAACAGTCGGCAAAATGCGTAACAAAGAGGCTGATTGGATGTATGTTGAACAATGAAAAACTGTGTATTGTAGGATAGGAAAGTTTCATCCTTTTTTACATCCTTTCTTGCAGTTTCGTTTACTACCTAGTTGCGAAATTCAACTTCCGGCTCAAAGCCACTTCCTGGCCAAAGTCAACGGAGCATGTGCAGAACTCTTATGCCAGTTTACGTCAGATTTAGCAAAAATGAACATGTTACCTGGTTAAAAAGATGGTTTTGGTCTGAATAGCTCAGGACTCCCAAGACATCCATCGGGAAACTAATGTTTTTCTCAGCACGTTTGTTTCAAAGTTGTCTTTTCAAAACCAGCAAATCAGAGGCAAAGCTGACTCCCCACACAGGCATGCTTATTGTAGCCATTTAATTTCTACCTCTATTTTGACTTTATAAACAACGACAACAAAAAAAATGGTTGGCCTTTTTTTTATTTTTTTACAAGAGTCAAGGCACAAAAATTCAAACACAAATCTGGATCATTTATAACATACTGTACCAATAACCCATTTTGTATTTAAAAAAATTCATTGATTAATTAATTAACAAACAAAAAAAAAAAAAGAGCAAGCTCTAAAATCAATGAACAGTTTATTACTGGACTCAACAGTCTCCCTCCCGCCACATACTACTGGATTTAAATTTGTAGTGAAATGAAGAGGCTTATGGATAACTCTCTCATTAATTAGAATTTCTTTAATTAAGTCTCCTCATCCATGTCTGGGAAAGGTATAAAAACAGAAACATGGGGCCAGCGTCAAAATGGTGCAAAGCATTTGCATCGCTCACAGCCACTTAGGACTTTTAAATAAGAAACAGCATAATCTATATAATTACGCCGCCGACATGCTTGTGTAACAAACTGATATGACGTCTCTAGACCTCCACATATTCTGTCAGATATAGTTTGGAAGTACAATGACAAAAATTCATGTACATAATTTTACTTTTGCAGATGGTGTGAGAATGAAATTATAGTCTGACTTGGAAGGAAGACTTGCCAGTGACAGAAGATCTTGATATGCCATATTATACAATATGACACAAACATCCAAAAAAGGTTTTGCCAAGCCACTATTCAATAGTTGAGCAAAATCTTCTTTTTGACTTCATGCAGGAGCCTTAAATCTCTTTTTTTGGATAAAGTGTTCAATTCCTGTTGGTTTTGAAAAATCTCAATCTTCATATATATGAATTAAGCACAAATCTCAAGATAACAAAAGACATTTTCCTGTCGTTTCTGTTGTTTATATTTGTACATAGATCCAATGTAAACCACACACATACCATTTCACAGTGTTGTCTCACTGAGGGTTCAATTCAGTCCAAGCTTAGCAGGCTGTATCTGCAGATGGCTGAGAGTGAAAGCGAGCCGAGCAGGCTAAGTGCACTGTATGTAAACACAGGGGAAATGAGATGTGACCACTGTGGTCGTGACACTAACTGAGCACCCATTTACCTCCAAGAATGAGTCCTCGAACATGGCCCTAGACGGACGAGTAAGAGAGGAGAAATGCAAATGTAAATGTATTTATGTGACTTTGTTGTCATATCTGTCTCCCTCCCTCACGCACTTGTTCTCTCTTTCTTGCTGCCCTCATTTGTAAAACCAGGGAAGGAGGTGGGTTGGGGATTCCATTTGAACAAGCAAGCCTCTGCATCGCTGGTGGGAGACAGCTTGACTCAGAGCGAGAAAAAAATGAGAGCGAGAGATAGAGAGAAGGAGAGGAGGGAGGGAGAGAAAGTGAGAGGTGTCTTCCATGCACCAGACGATGCAATCCTTAGCAGGAACATGGCGAACACTCCGCCAATGGCAGCTCACGCACAAGCCTACGCATGGAGGGTTTCCACGGCTACTCCCAACCTTCCTTCCCATCACCCTCCCTTTCTTTTTCACTCCTTCTCTCTCTCCTCCTCTCCTCTGCCTTGGAAGAAATGTCAAATGGATAATAAACACAGCAGTGGATGTAGCTGTTCCAAGTGACCACCACAGTTGGTCAATTTGTCAGGATTCAACCACGTACCGTAGCTACAGACAGAAGGTATCTGCACATGCAGAAATACACACAGACAGGCTTTATAAGGCAAATTACACACTTCTGAAAAATGTCAAATCTGTCGACTATTTATTTTTATGATTATTTTTATTATCATTGTTGTGCTAAATCCTTGAGCTATTTCATGAAGTGTTAAATTACATCATTATTATAGCATTTCCAATCATTATTTAATTTTAAATGGTAGACAGACCCCAAATGTTCTTAATAAACAAAGACATTTGACATGTTAGACTCATAAAATAATGTAAGAGCAGTTTAATCAAATTGTTCCAGTTTACTGAGTGGAGTCAGTCTGGCTAAAAAGTCTTTTAGGAGTCATAATGAGCAACACTGATCCAACGCACTGTGGCATTCAGTCTCTTTGCCTATGACCTGCTGTATAATACAGATTTAATGCTCGGTGTGTTTTATACATTTACATGTAAATTTCTGTCCAAGAAACTCTTCTATTCCAGCACTGCTTTCCTGCATCCAATTAACAATGTATGTAGGACAGATGCATGGATAATAAAGGGTCTCTCCTCCTGATAAATAAATAAAAAAGTTCTCTCTCTCTGTGTTTGCTGTAACAGGTAACCTTGCGGGTAAAGTTCCTCATTGCTGAGTTGCAAGACAGCACAGCTACCGAGCCAGTGGATCTTTGATTTTTTTCTAATGATCTGATGCAGTCCTCTTTGCAAGTGAGTGGGTTGTAGATATGGCTGTTATATATCACACTGTATCTGGGAAACTTCAGAGTCTGACATAACCACTCCATAATACTGGCAGTACTGTTTTAAACTGGGTTGCTATAGCTTAGTAAATGGCTGGTGACTCACCAGGTTTTCCCCTGTTGGTTGATGTTCATCGATGACCAACAATGAAATGACGATGGTTTGACAGCTTACTGGTGTCAAAGATTTCTGACTCAAGTCAATGGGAACATGGCCTATTAGCTCCAAAAATATAATATCCACCCAGCATTAGCATTGCTCATGGATAATTACTGACAGCCAATGGCTTCATTTGTCATTATAGGACAAAACATTTACGCTTTGAGTGTAACAGTCACACAATTTGACCCATTCTCACACCACACGCCACACATTTCTCACGCTTATATTTCCCCATTCAATACTCTGTATTTTTTTTATGATAATAAACTTGGCTTGCCGTAGTTCGAGTAACTCTGATTGACTGACTGAGATAACCAATCCAGCAGTCTTTTGTGCCTAAATCTAACCAACCACGGAAGGCACCATGCATTATAACCAATCAGAAGCAACGTAAGGCGAGTCTTGGCGTCTCTAACTATCTATCACACACAACAGCACCAACATTTAAAACCCACTTTCTAACTTCCAATTTCTGGTTAATTAAGACTAGCATTAGGAGGCCACAGTGCAGCGAGAGTAGTTGGCATGGAGGTGAGGACATCAGTCTTAAGGTATAAATTGACGTTAAAAAAGGCCTGTTTTTTTCACCGGCGGCACTCAGAATGGGACTAATATTGAATGTGTAAGCTAAGCAAGCTATATGAATATGAAAGTTTGAAAGGAATCCACTCCTCCCTGATTTCTGACAGTCAGATCAGTTAAAGATGGTTTCTGACACAGTTAAGTTTGTCCTCTGAACAACACGTTTTACTAAAACATGATTAAAATATCCATAAAGTCAAGAGGATTTGATGATGAGTTTTGCATAGTGGAGGAACCCTCTGAATGCACCTGCATGACCCACAGGAAGGTGTGCACACACACCATTAGGTATGGTATAATTGTGTTTTTTTGCATGCGTCTATGGAGGCATATGTTTTTGTATTGCCTCTATATCAAATAAAATTCAACATTTTTCGCCTGCTTTGGATGTTTGATGTGAAAGCAGGCAGGCGGTCTGCTTTGCTGCTGTGAGAAGTGGCACACTCGGATCATTAATCAGACTCGACGGCACAGCGGGTGGAAGGCAAGCCACGGGAGAGCCCAAATGCATGCAAATGTATACTCGTTTTGGGGGCAGGTTGAGCCAAGGACAGAACCTAGCCAGCAACAGACAGGGAGAACAAGTACAGATAGAGAGGGGGAACATATCACTGCTCAAGCGGGAGCCCGTTCATTGTGCCTTTGTCTCATACAGCTGAAGCATGAATGTGCTCTAAATCAACATGACAGAGGAGAAAAGGGAAAACAGGGAAATCTTGCAGGTGAAACAAAAAAGAAGTGTTTGTTGTTTAAAGGCTTATAGTACACTGTATATTATCTACTGATGTAGAATAACCATAACATATGACTGGTCAGATCCCATATCAGCACCTCTGTAAACCCCCTCCATTGCCAAACGGCATGATCTGTCAAACAAGCTTCCCAAGCAAGACATCTCTTCACATGGCAAATGTAGAAGCAAGAGCTGATTTTTGCTGCCAACTGAGGGCACAGCTTAGCATCCATCCAAGCTCTTATTATTCTGCTCAGTGCCTCAGCCTCATTATAACAGGGATTGTACCTTTGGTGAAGATAACCTTACATGACTTTTAGAGATGAACCTTTTACAAAGAAGCTTAAGGAAATGTGAATAGAGCAGAGATAGCTTTGCCGGTGGGCGTCTGCATCATATAAGGAAACAGAGGCGCCATAAATCCTTCTCAGTTTTTTGCCATGTCATGTTTTGTCATCAGGTAAGCCTTTAAAAAGAAGTTAGTGTTTGGATCTGAGTCACTGTACCGTGCACTGATGTTGTAAATCTTGGAAAATGCTTTTAATAAAACAGCTGTATGACAGGGGAGTGGAAAACACTTTCTGCTGGAATGAATTTGGTTCTGTTGCTATGCAGCTTACAGTGGAAATGCTTCCACCGCACCTGCGACGGCTCTGATCCGGAACAGTGGCGATTCCCACCATACGCCAATTCCTACCAGATACATTTGTGAGGTGAATTTCATGGCGGATTACAGACAGCAGGAATCGCAAGAACTCACAAGAACCAGTGGATTCATGTGCAATCGTGCAATATCAAGTTGTCTTTAGCCACATAGGCTAACCATACGAGCAGTAGATTGTGTCCTTCAGTGGAGGAGGGGGGCAACCGCCATTCCGACATCTCGCCATTCCGACATTGGTCTCTAATTGTCGGAGTGGCGGTATGTTACGATACAACGTGCCGTAATCAAAGCAGGACAAACATCCAACGAGTTGCCGCACTGCTGCGGAGCCCTCTGCGTGGGTTCAACGCGGGGCGCACCCAGCTATGCTCGGGGTTAAAGGACGGACTCCAGATGTTGGAAAGTTGCGTTGGAATGGTGAGACGTTTAGGTGTCAGAGTGGCAGGATGTCGGAATGCTGAGATGTCGGAGTGGCAGGATGTAACCAGTGGAGGAAATCTACTTCTAGGCTTATAAAATCAGCGTCTCCTCATCCATGGTGTCATCGGGATGAAATGCTGTCTATAAAACTTTCACTTGTTCGTCTCTGCCCATTTGCATGGTGTGAAATACGAACTGCCTGAAACACTGAGTTTTTTATTTTGAAAAGAAGACATGTTTTATTTTGTGTCTGTGCCCACTACCTTTCCAGCACAGGTTAATCTGTGCTGAGGTGTCCAGAAAAAATAGAACTCTTGCGATCAGCTGCGGAGTCCAGCGATCCACAGTGGAACTGGAAAGAAGCTGGTGGAAATTGACCCATTAACTTGAATGGTTACGATCTGCTACGATCGGCGGATACGGCCTTTTCGTAGCCATTCCGGATGCAGTGGAAATTGCCCGTTACAGGCTGATGGTCAATATTTTTCCTTATTTGTTTTCATCATATTGAAATTATATCGAAAGAAAATGACCGTTGTGTTAAAGTCATTTATGGTTTTGATATCATTCATCATATAATCTGTCTAATGTTGATTATATTTATTCTTAAACAGCACAGAGAATATTAATATCACTGTTTCAGTTTGGCTCCCTCGTTACGGCTGTAGAGATGTTCCAAGTGTTTTGTCCCAGGATCACATCTGTCCACCATGCTCGTGCCTCATGAACTAAGGTTTCACTCCCTCCTTTTCCCTGGATAGATGTAAAGATGTAGGGAGGGATGAAAAGATGGAGCCAACAAGCGATTGTTCTGCTCTTGCAAACAGGCCATTCAGGGAAACCCCTCGGGGAGCAGAGCTTTTTCAAGGTTGTGTCCTACTCTGCTTGCTACCTCTGTTTGTGTGCATGTGCGCATGCCTGAGTGCATGTAATCCTCTGGGTCTCGGTAACGTTCAGTCAGGCTGATATCTCTCCCCGAACAGAAAGAAAGAGTGCATAACATGGACGTGTGTTTGTGTGTGAGGGTGTGTGCTGACTCGGCCTTGTGCCAGAGGTTTTTACAAGTCTCCCAGGTCAGAGGAGGGGTCAACAGCTGTTGGCTAATAATGTTCTCTGCCTTTATTTTCCCTGGCACGTGAGCGGCCCAGGCATGTGAGATGCATGACAGTGTTATTGTTCTGTGTAAAATGGGTGACTCTTGGAAGGAAAATGCCACTCTATGAATGCGTGCCTGCTTTGTGATTTTACATAACACAAACACTTGCCATCAAAAGGTTGCAGGCATTCAGGCTGTATAATGACTTGTGCGATAAGGCTGTGTTTGTCTGCATAATTCACCCAAGCTCAACAATGTTTAATAAGGTTTGCTTTCAATTTTAATCACAGCAGGACAATTTTAGATCCTTACAAGCAGCTCAGTGTTATTTGATTGAGAAATCCTTGCAGACAAGTGATAACTTTGGTGTCATAAAAGTATACAGCAAGGGCGACAACAGCATCTTTGTTACGGCCCTTAATTCAAAATGAGGTTAACGCAGTAGACTTCATTTCCACCCACAAACTGCTTCTCCTGGAAGGCATTGTTAAAATATATTATTCCACTATTCCTGCTTGTTGTTTGCAATGTTTGTTATTCAAGCAAGAAGTGTATGGAAATTGGCCTGGAGGATTTTAGAGGTTGGCAAATTGCATCTCCAATCAATGCCAGGACTCTGCAAAAATCTTTGTAAGCCCTTTGTGTAAAATCATGTTTTTATAGATTGGAGCAAAAGCGCTTACAAACAAACCAGACAAAGCAAAGGAAGAGCCATTATTTCGTGGTATTACAAATATTTCTTGCAGGCAGAGAAGGCAGCACCATACAAATGAAGGCACGGCAGCGGTGCTGGGAAATTAATTAAGAGGAAGAAGAAAGGAGAGGAAAAATACTGTGGACTCACATAAGGTTGTATTAAAATTAGTCTCAGTAGACATCTCCCCTGCTGTTAGGATGAGGTTGAAAGGATTATATCATGAAAATCCTGTCATCGCCTCACTCCCTATGTGTTCCTGACATCATCAGGCAACCTTAGGTGGCCTCAGTCCACAAACAAGCATGCACACACATTTAAACGAGCACATGACCACAACACAGGACGCAGACACAGACAGCATGCTGAGCGGCCCCAGCCAGTCCAATGTGAGGCAGAGGAGAGAGAAACATTATGTAATCCTATATGCCTCTGGATGAAAGGTTTGAGCTTAACTGAAGCAGTGACCCTGAGCCAATGGCTTTTTTCCCCAAGAAAGGCATGAATGTTTGGTTAGTAACTCTGGTGTGAAATGAGTCTTGAAAATTCTGCTGTTAGAAATATTTTTTCTGCCTATTTTCTTCTGATGTAAATAGTTTAGTTTTGTTGCTTTGTCTGTTTTTATTTTTTATTTTATTTTTATTTTTTTTGCCACAGACAGACTGGTACATCTGCATGGAAATGTTATTCTGAGTCTCTCTGCAACACCCCTTCTCTAATTATATGGTTAAAAATAGATGCAATAACTGCTTTTTATTACCTGTTCAGTATTTTGGATGTTTCTTTGAGAAAGCTGAAATTGATTTTTCATCTTTTGTCTCTTTCTAATGCATCCTCCTAAGAGCTAATTATCCATTAGAGCATTAAAAGCCCTTTCAAATAGCCCAATAAATACCAGCAATGGAACAACATCATTCTAAGAAATGCAGAGTTTCTGAATTATCAATTATTATTTCCTACAATTTTGTCAGATATTTGGATCCAAAAATAGTTGAACATAATTTTTATCACTCTCTCGCTGAAGGCATACTGACTTACAACATAATGTAACGTAGCGTAACGTAGCGTAACATAACATAACACAACATAACATAACATAACATAATAACATAACATAACATAGCATAACACAAGATAACATAAACTACATATGCTGTAGTATTGAATTAAACTGTATAGTAGTGTAATGTTGCAAAATGTATTGTATCATATCCAATCCCTGTATTGTATCCCTCTGTATCATAACATAATGTGACGTAACATAACGTAATGTTGTATACTGTATCATGATGTAACACAATGTATGGTATATCATTTTTTATACTATCCTGTTGCATAGTATTGAATCATAATGTAACATATCTTATTGTATTGTAACCATAGAGTTTATACAGAAAGGACACCATCTGCCTCCTTTCTGGGTGAAGCCACTCCGAGGACAGCACCCTCTGGTGACTGGCTACAGTATAGGTCGTAAATCCCGCCTCGGCCAGCAAAGATTATGGAGCCATGGACAACATTTAAAAATGTATTACACAGAATTAAATTTTTTTTCTCCCCCTTGCTTGTGATGTTGACATGTAGTTATTTTAAGACTGGTTTGTGCTCAAGAGCTTTTTTTTCTGTGCAGCTCCATTTTTAAAAGTTATTAGGGGGTTCATGTTTTCTATGATTGACAGTTGATACAGCCTATAGGGGTATGAAGATTGCATAGCTTACCCAGGGAATACGTTGTTTGAGCCGAGCATCATCACAGCATCTCTCTGCGCACAATGCTAGTGCACAATGTTGGTTTCAAGAATTGGAGAAAAAAATGCAGAATAACCAAGAGGCTTTCGGCTTCAAATCTGTATACTGGTGGAAGGCGGAACTAAGTTGTCTATACAACACAGTCTATGATTGTACCATATTGAACTGAATTGTCTTATAGTAGTGTATCATATTCGTATCTATTGGATTAGATCAAAATGTAATACATCATAATTTATCACACCTTGTCATTTTGAATCATACCACATAGTGTTGTATTGTTTTCTATCTTATTTGATTCCTCACCAAGCGTTCCAAATAACTAACTTCTTACTTTTTAAGATTTGTGAGTATTCAATCACATACATTCTCAACCCCCCACAAATCTATTCAAATCAAAATTATCCATATAGTTCAGTTCCCAGAAGTTTGACACCAACAAAACAAGACACCTCTCTGCAGATGTGGTTTTAGGGCCTTTATCGGGTTGTTTACCGAGCCTTGACCAGAGAGTGTCTGACAAGTATTGCTTTGAGAGCTATGACTAATGCATGTACTGCTGAGTCACCACAGAATACTGATAAAAGAAAGAACTCGATACATTCAGCCTCCCATCTCGTATGTTTTCGCTAAGGCCTCGAAACTGCTAATTTGAAAGGACAAACTGCAGAGTTCAATGACAGTTTTTACTTTGCAGGCCCACTTTTGGAGCCACCATTGGATTTGAATTTGTCTTTAAGACGGTGTGTGTGTGCATAAGATCTGAATTCTTTTTTCAGTTTCAGTTTGGATGGTGTGTGGGAGGGATGGTTGGGTTCCCGTGTTCAAGAAGAGGAGATAAAAGACACAGACGTTTTCTAAAGAGACTAAATAGACACAAGTGAACTGATTTGCAGATTGAATGGGATGAGTCACACCTCTGTTAATCTGAATACACTCTTAAAAGGACAAACTCAAGAGCTGCCTCAGGCACACAAGTTCTTAGCATCACGATGAAGCTGTGTCAGTGTGTATGAAGTTGTGCTGGCTTGGAAAGCGAGAGGAGATTTGGTTGATTTCTTATCTTACTACTGTCACTGGCACACCTTTGCCTGAGTCACTCTGATTGGCTGAAATAGGGTCACAACATG